TATAAACAATTGTATTGTGTACTTTAGGAATCCTGTCATAGTTGCACAGTGTGTTTGACAACGTTATCCGAGATCTGAGGTGGAAGTATCACTGGATGAGCAACATGAACCAGGTAAATTCTCAGGAGTGGTGTAGAATAGCACAGTGCCTGATTCCCAAGGGAGTTTGTTATATATATCATAATGTGATAAGTCTTTTGATAGCTCTCTTCACCCAAGAAAGAGTCCCACGTCCAGCATGCAAACGTTCAGACCAAAATTCAAAGAATTTCTCCAAGCCTGTTTCTTCATCTTTGTAATTCAAAGCAGCAATAAAATAATCCAGTCAATGTTTAAGAAACTTAGCCCACAATGAGTTTCAAGCAGACTTAGTGACTGCATTAATATAGGTAGTCTTCATACATTCCTTTGAATATACTTAGGATACTACTTATCTAATCCTAGAATCAACACTAGGCTGTTGTTGTTGGTTTGGATTTTTTTTTAAAGATTTTTTTTTGAAACAAAAATACAGAAGTGAACTGCTTGCACAAACACGTACTTGCCACTCATTGTTCTTGCAATGGGGGAGCAGCTGAGGCTGTTAACAGAATATCAAGTATATACGCTGAAAGATCTTGCATGCAAAGAACAGTTTGAGCGCACCCCTAACCTCTCCACACAACATAATGATCTGGTTTTAAATGAATCAAAGAGTAGCTGACAGCAATGGAAAAAAAATCTCATCAACTTTTATGGGTTTTTGAAGCAGTTGAGCAATTCCACAATTCCCGTAGGTTTTTCTGGGAACACACTTACATTGACAACTGGGAACTTTAAACACTATTTCCGCTCTTCAGAAATACTGAAAGACATTTGTCCTACATCTGTTAAAATACAGATCTTTAAGAACTTACCATAAATATTTACAAATTCCTACTGTGTCATTAGCATATTTATCTGAGCTGCATATTAAACAACAGGGTATTTAAAATATTAAGTTTGCTGCTGAGAAAGGAAATACTAATGAACTGGCAAGCTGCTATATAACCCAAGATAATAAATGTAACAGGATACACAGACATTCAAGCCCGTGCAGAACATTCCATCCAATGTTAAATCTCAAAAGAAATTACTTCATGAGGAGACTTTTCCTCACTAAAAGAAAATTAGTATAGACCATAAAGAATCTTTGCATATCGCACGAAGTCATTCTTAATATGAATCACCTCCTCTAGTATGTGACTCACATACCAAGACAGGCAGATTTTCATAGGCCCAATGCTAGTCAAGCCCTTGCTGAAGTTGGTTACAGTACAGTTCTTCCAAATCTGAAGTTACCAAAACTTTCCCATTTAGCTACACAACAATAGCTGCAGTATTTGTGCTGGTGTGCTGGGTTGGAATAACATAGTCAGCTCTAAGATAGTATCATTTAAATTAACCGCAGTATTTTTGGAATGAATTACGTATTCCTATTTTGGCAAAAAATGGATTTTTAACAGCTCACGTTAGTGCTTTTAAATGTAGAAAGGTATCAAATTACACATTATAGTAATCAATTTCCAGTAAGCGCAAGTCATACTGCAAAAATCATCTGTAATAATTATTTACACGTACTAAAGAGATGTTACCAATTTAAAGATTAGAGGTTTTGTTAAAAAGATTTAAGAAATAATTTTATAAATGCACGTTGTACATAAACTACTCTGGTGTTCTCATTCACAGTATAACAGAAGTGTTACGCTATATCAGAAAGTGAAACCAAAGAGAAACTGCAACTGCCCAGCACTGCTCTCCTCTTCAGGAAAGGAAGAAAGGCAGAGTGGAAGCAGAGGCCTGGGTTCCTTCATTCTTTCAGCTTTCATTACTCTCCGATGGTTTCATTAGATAGGCAAAGACATTTTACAAGACGATTCAGAGTCACACAGCTGGTTTCTCAGCTTCTGGTCATGAGGAAAGCCGTGTGCCTTATTCCTCCAACTCACCTTTGCCGTTTAGCTGAAATACAAGGACTGGGGTGCCAAGTAAGCAACCACCCCTCAGCATTAGGTATTGCAGCTGGAGCACCGACTGAAGGATGTTGTAGTAAGCATCCATTTGCATAAGTCACTGCATCATAGTTCGGAACCTGGTAAGCTAACATAATTTCCTGTTCTCCTGTTATTTCCACTGTGAAAATATTTAATTTTAGTATAATTTCAATTAAATAGAGTACTTTTGGAGAGCTAGCTTAATTCCTGCATTCACATAAGACCATAATAAAGAACCGTTACAAGAGAGCTATTCACTAATTTGTCCCACTGAGTGTAACTGTCCTCTTCAACAGCTTTCTCTTGACTTTAAGTCAAAAAAAGAAATTCTAATTGCAAAATAAAGGCTACTTGATAAATAACCTATGTTGAGGAGCCAGCATCAGAGCACATGAACCATTTCTTTCCAACATAGAAGAAATCCTACTAGGTGGCCTATTTTATTTGAAACAGAGTTAAATCTTTAAACTATAGTAAAAGAAGTTATAGGACTGATACCATTTTCACATCTTAACAGAATTTCTTTACTAGTGGAGTTAAAAATTAAACGCACAAACAACAGCTACATAAGTTAACAACCTTTACAGCAACTTGGAAAGCTGCTAATTAAAGCTGAATTATATTATTCGGTCTCTTCCAATAGTGCATAATTAAGATTCGGAACTCTTTGGCACATAGCTGTGCAGATGCTAAAAGTTTACATCAGAGCAGAGAGCAATGAGACAAATCTGTTGAAGAAAAATCTTTCAAGCACTTCTAAACATAGAGAAGACCCAGGGCCAAAGCTTGCCGGAGGCTGGGAAAAGTATCATGGGGGAAGTACTGCTAGGTCTCTTCCAATAGTGCATAATTAAGATTCGGAACTCTTTGGCACATAGCTGTGCAGATGCTAAAAGTTTACATCAGAGCAGAGAGCAATGAGACAAATCTGTTGAAGAAAAATCTTTCAAGCACTTCTAAACATAGAGAAGACCCAGGGCCAAAGCTTGCCGGAGGCTGGGAAAAGTATCATGGGGGAAGTACTGCTACATGCTTGTCTCTTCCCCAGCCATCCATAGTTGGAAGTTGTCAGGATACTAGGCTAGATAGATCTTTCATTTAAGCTAGCATTGATGTAAAGGCATCCAAATACAAGTAAATATTCAATGGAGGTTTACACGTTTAAGATCTTTTGTTCCATAGAACTCTAGCAGTATGTAAGAGTCAAGCATAGGAGATCTGTAAATGCTAATATGCTATCTAACAACATACAGATCTGATCTTAAGCATGCCCAAGTTAAGAGAATGTACCAGTGGAGAATTTCCGTAAGGTCTGAACAACATCCATGAAGAGATTTTTTTTTTTTTTCTAAAAAGATACATGCCTCCTGTTTTAGAAGTTACAAAGAAATAATTGACTACAATCTAGCCTGGTGAGAAAGTGGCGAGAACACAGGCCCACTTTTCAGCATCATGTAGGATATAGAACAAGATAATTGCACTAGAAAAATTCAGTGATTTAAAGTAAAAACAATTACTGCATCTTATTACCAACACCATTCAAATGAACAAACCAAGTCAGAAATCAACCCTTCATACACACTCCTCCCCGAGCTTTTCCTAACACAGTCTATCTGGATCCCTTATATATGAACGATATGTTGACAAAGCCATCCAACAATACACTTCTCCCAAAATAATTCAGAAGAAAAACCTCTGAAGCTATAAAGTATTTCTCAAACCAAATGCAAAACCAAGCTGCAACCTTCTGCAGCTATATCAAACGAAAGCCTCCTTCAGCATTACTATATTGAAATGAGCTTATGATTAATCCATTAATTATTTTGCAGAATCAAACTTTCTACACTTCACAGACAACATGACTGTGAGGAGATGTGATAGCATCCAGGAAAAAAAAGAGCAGTCACCACACCTTGGAAAATAACCAGCTTTGCTTCTTGGGTTTTGGTGGGGGGGGGAGGGGAGGGTTGGAGGTTGTTGGTCTTTGTTTAGGGTTTGGGTTTTTTGGGGGGAGGGGCAGGGAGAGGGGGAGTTGTTTTGGGTTTTTATATAAGAAAAGAATTACAATAACAACAAAGATTTTAAAACTAAACAATATAGCAAGCTTCCTAAAAGTTAAGTAACACATTCATTGAACTACCATGATTTTACTTACTCTCTTCCTCTCTCCTAACATTAAAAAATGTATTTTTCAGCCATATTTTGAGTAGCTACCTTCCTAAAAATAATTTTTTGTATTCTGATCTGTCCAGCTGGTTGAAAGAAGCCACACATTTCTTGTTCTCATCCTCAATCCAAATTAAAATCATTTTTGCAGATGAGCATTTTTATTTAATACAGAAAAAAAAGATTATGTATTTTTGTACCTTTGAGTACAGCTGGAGACAAAACCTTCCCAATCCGATCAAAATAATGGATCCTGGCACTTTTACCATCCAAGCCACACAAAGATACACTGAAATTACAAGCTGATATAACTTTAGTGAGGCGTTGATGGCTGCAAGCCTTTGAATTGACATCATAAGTATACTCTGTTTAATGCTCTTTTCCAAGACTAATTTATCTATGTAATACTTAACATGAAAACAGACTGGAGGACATCTTTTGCATACAGTATCCCTGTTTAATGTTGATAGTACTAAGCCAACTCTTTAGAAAGGGCAGACAGATTCTTAATGGTAAAATTTGCTAATCTACTACAGTAAGGCTCTCCCTGCTCCTCACAATACAATTTTTAAATATGTCAATTGCTTTTTCCTCATTGCAATATCCTAATTCATGTCCTAACAAAGATGATATTTATTGTGATTGACCAGGATAACAGCATTATTTTAATTCCTCTTAAAAGATACCCTGTTGTGTTGGGAAAAATGAAAAACCTAAGTTGTGCCGTAGCTTATGCACAAAACAACTACACAGCATTGCACAGTATCTGTTCACGAGCACATCTTTTAATTTCTAAACTGATAAATAATTGTCATGCTTTACCTGCGATTTCATCTCATAAAGCGTAGCATCCTCTGGAGTTAACTGAAGTGCTTCATCCCACTTGTGAATAGCCTCTCGGTACCTGTAGTTAAAACAAGTATTACAGTCTCACCGTATTTAAAGATATTAGATATTTCTGTTTATATCCTGACATTGTCCTAAATAAAGTGCCATTGCATCTCATTAGTATTAATGATTTTTCTAACCACTTCCCTACAAGACATGCTGAACTGTTTTCAGGAACTGGCTATTTGTTCTTCTATCCAAATGGATGCTGGATGCTAAGTACTACTATACAACTGGCCTCAAGGGAATTTACAAGTCAATATAGGAAACCTATGGCAAAGCAATGACTTAAAACTAGAAATCTTGAACTGAGTCCTCATTGTCAAAATCATCCTTAGTCAGGCATAAAAAAATACAATCTTAACCCAACATGCCTTGCTACAGTCATCATTTAAAATTTCTTTTCAGCTGAAAAAAAGGCTGAAACACAGGAGTTGCCCTCCTGCATTTCTGTACTGTAAGGTACTAAAGACATCCGAGTAACTTCGGTATATAAATATAAGAAGGAAGTTGAAAGTAAACAGCTATACTGAAATCACTCTTTTGGAAGGTATACAGTAGCTTCATAATATGTTGCCCTTCCCTAGATAACTGAAGAAAACCAAGAAGAGTTGACCAAACCCAATAAAAAGTAGGTCTTTGTCTTGAACAAAGAGGTAAAACTTGGACAAACGCATACTAGGGTTTTGAATCATATTGAAGAACTGTAACAACATAGTAAGACACAGTTACAGGGGTGCAGTCTTTCAGCCCTACAGGTGGCCTCAGATTAACGAGTCTGTGGGGTGCCACAAGTTCTCTGAATCTGTTTCAAAATCCACCTCTGTTACGGAACTGCATAGGAAGTTCCACAGAAACACGCACTGCAATTTTAATCCAGTATAGATAAAACAGATACACGTACTGCAATTTTAATATCGTACAGATAAAACTAAAGTAGTTTTCACACGCACTTCGTATGGAAACAGTTTTTATCTTCCCCTACTCCCCATTTTCTTTCCCTTCCCCATTTTTCAGTCCTCCAGCTTGTATTACGCCTCCAGGTTTTCCAAAGCAGTCACATGAAGACTTCAGAAGGTTCTGAACCAACTGGCAATAGAAAAGATTGGAAAAGCAATGCAACTGAGGTCAAACTCTCATTATGATTCAGGTATTATTAGTTTGTAAAAGACACTGATAAGTATGTTTAGCACTCAAACATCAAAGGATGTTCCAATAAATTTTCACATTTCCTCAAAGTTTAGCCACCAGACCTGCATTTGTCATGTCAGTTCATTCCCCATGGGCAGGTGTTCACACTAAAGGAAACCACCACATTTTCTACATATGTCAGTAGAAGCCTTAAGCTGTCATTTAGTCAGCAAGAACTACTTTTTGACTAGAAGATTATAGTTTTGTTCAAGACCTAGCACAGACATAGCACAATAAAATCCAACATGAGTAAGGGAAGTCCTCAGCTCAGTTAGGTGGTGTCCTGGCCATGCAGTGAGGTGCAATATTGTGAGTGTAGCAAAAAAGTTTAAAAACAGAGGATTTTGGAAAACGGAGCAAACACAGTAACGACATCAGTAACCAGAAAAGAAGGAACAACACTGGCATTCTGGAAATAGAAAGATGTAAGATAAAAGTTGCATTTCAAGAATCTCCATTTTTACTTCTGTGGAGGGGACATCACTGCTCAAAGTGTCAATCTGAACGGGATAAAAATGCATAGCAAGAACATGTTACCTCTGAAGGGAGTACCAAATATTCCCCCAAATCCTTTGGCGTTTGCTGCCAATTTGTCAACAGTCTGCCAACAGAATAAAGATGGGCACGGGAAAAGAGGTTGTCCATTCACAGAAATGCTGTGCTATATGTGTTCTGTGTATGAACACTAAGTTACTCAACTCCACCTGTGAGCCTCAGAAAGCATGATCCAAGAGAAGTGACGACAGAATGCCGGAATCGCTTCTGAGGACTGAGAACACAACAGAAAAGGGCTTGAAGAAAGAAGATTTGTCCGCAGGTAAATACCAAACCACCTGCTCAAAAGACTGATTGCTGAGTACCAGTTTACAGTGTGGACATATCCATGCCGCTGTGAAAGATCAATCTTTGCAGTGCATATACGTCTTAAAAAGAAAGTCTGATAAAACATGACTGTTCTATTCTTTTACAAATTCTCAGGAAAAAAGATGTTTCCATTGTTGTTCCAGGAAAAACTAAGGATACTCTTCTTATTAAAAGAAACTGAGCCATGTTGCTTGCTGTAATAATGCAAACTTAGAAAAAAATTCCTTTCTATAAAGACAGTCTTTTAATCGAAGAATTTTCTACCTCATTCTTTTGAAGGAAAAGATTATATACTGTATTAAATATCTGAAAAAGTAACCTGGGGATGTAAGATACAGTTGTAAAGTCAGTGTTCCAGTAAATGTTTTATGAAAACCATAAACCTTGGCTGAAGTAAGAAGCGAGCTAACATAGGGGTAGTGTCGTAAAATCAATGATTAAAAAATATTTCATTTTACTATCTCTAAGTATCTTTTTAAGCTGAACTGTACAGGACCTTTATCATTATAAGGAGGGAGAAGTAATTTTGAAAAGGAAAATAAATATGGTATCTGCTTTGGGTTTAATTAACAGAAACTTAATGAGCATTCCATTTGCTATTCCCATTTCTTAACAAGTAAATAAGCTCACACACAGTTGAGTGACTAGCCAGTAACAAGCACATATGCATCACCTGAGCTGCAAAAACTAACACATAGCTGGCAAAAGTCAAGTAACAAATTTTAGCTTAATGCTGTTCCACTGAGGTCTACCTGAACTTCCTCCTATATGCCTGATATGGAAAGAGAGCACTCGTGTTCAGAACACATCCTATGGCACAGTTGATGCACAGTAACATGCATTTGAATCTTACAGCCCTTCAGAAAAAGGGATATGAAACCTAGCACTTCAAAAATTAAAATAACTTGTATTAAAAAAAAAAAACACCTCAGAAACAAGAATGAGACTCAAAAATTGCAGACCCATCCACTGGTGATGCTATAAACCTTCTTCAGAAACCTCTGGCAATCATTAAAGTGGAGATTAATCCCAAGCAACAGTTGGCTGGGGGCCTACTGACTGGAAAGCCACTTTGCAGATTAAAGACCTGGGGGTCTGGGAGACAAGAAGTTGAGTACGAGCCAGCAACGCGCCCTTCCGGCAAAGAAGCTGAACAGCATCCTAGGCTGCCGTAGCATCACCAGCAGACAGAAAGGTGATCTACCTCAGCTCTGGTGAGACCACTTCTGGAGAGCTGGATCCAGTTCTGGGCTGTCCAGTATGACAGAGACATGGACATACTGGAGTGAGTCCAGCAATGGGCCACAAAGAAGATTAATGGCTTTGAGCATCTGTCATATAAGGAGAGGCTGAGCGAGATGGGACTATGCAGCCTGGAGAAAGGAAGACTCGAGGGGGATCTTATCACAGTGTAAAAATACCCGATTTGGAAGGGGGACAGGGAGTAAGGAGGACGGAACCAGACTATTCTCAGTCATGCCCAGTGACAAGACAAGAAGCAATAGGCATAAACTGAAGCACAGGAAATTCTGTTTAAACATATATCCATTGCTGGAGATACCCAAAACCCAACTGGACAATGTCCTGAGCAACTTGCTCTAGTTGACCTTGCTTTGAGCAGGAGTTGGAGTAGAAAATCTCCTAGGGTTCCTTAGGATTACTTGATACTAAGACATCAGCAACCTCACTGATACATGATTTAAGATGAAATATGATTATCTCTTGGCTAAATTTTAAGCAAAATATAATCTTACAACAAATAGACCCATTAATTTTTAGAATCTGGGATTACTATAAAAACTTACCTAATGTAGCAGTAAAGAAGTCACAGAATATTGATAATGGGCATTATCTTGATTTTACAGAGTATCAAATTAATATTTCCAGCAAAAGTAAAACCCTAATCTATATATACATTGTAACTAAGCATGTAAACTCCAGTAATACAAAGCATTTTTAGGAAAAGACTATCATATTTTGAAGTATTGATTTACTATTTATGTAAGTATAGAGATACAGTATACCTAATTTTACCTACCCACAGTGATTTCAGTAAAATAGTACACCTCACTACAAAAAATTATACAATTATAACCAGAACTTAATTATCATCTTCTCTTCTTTATTGCAATGCCATAAAAAAGAATAAATTGTTGAGAACTGGATAAATCTGGGATGGCTTCAGTGTAGAAGATTTGATGGATCTTGCTAATTTTTATTTAACAGCATATGAAATTCCATAGCTCCCCTAAAGCACTAAAACTGCTCTCTTCAGACATGCTATTGACCATCTGGGAGCTATACAGACTTGGCACATTTTACTATAGCTTGCTGAACTTTTGAAACAAACATCTCATGCTTACACTTCACTTTTTCACCACCATTTCTGGGAAAACAAGTTCTCTTAAACAAATTCATTTTTCCATAAAAAATATTTAATTTGAGGCTTCTGGGTAAAAAAAATACCAAACCCTGTTCAAGTTTTTGAATCATAGATATGTATATATATACACACATATATATATAAAATGCTAAAAACCATCACTGCAGATCATGCAGGATCTAGAGTCCTGGAGCTTTACTCCAACAGGCTTGCCACAGCTTCAGAAAGAGATTGACCGAGGGCAGGCTCAGGGTGACAGTGGAAATATCTGAGGATATGCTGAAGAGATAAGATGGTATCAAATTCAGACAAAATGACACAGGCCTGCAGGAGAGAGGCAGATCACAGGAGTACAGTGTCAGGAGAAGGGATGAGGAAATGTAACTCCTGGGAATTCTGAGAGACTTGGAGGGACACTCCTACAATCTGATGTGACAGGAGGGTAAGTAAAAACATGGTTAGCCAGAGCTAAGGAAGGGAAGAGGAAAACAGCATTTTAAAAAGAGTATGGCTAATTGTCAAATACTCGTGTCATATCATAGAGGATGAAGTGAATGGCCTGTGCCACCAGAAACACC